GACAATGAAAACAAATTTTATAACTAATTAAGGATAAAATTATCACTTTAATGGATAATTTCAATATAAAACAAAGTCAAACAATCATAAAATTTTAAAATTTTTCGGGTAGAAAATTATACCAATCAAACATACTAAATTAACAATTCCTTACAAAATAATTTCTAGGCAATTACTTTCCATGAAATTCATTTTCTTTCCACCATTGCAATTAAACGGACCCTAAGTGAAGGTCTGAACTGACTACCAACTAAAGAATCGACAAGTGAGACACAGTGAGAGATGAAATATATTTGGTTGTAGTTATTTTGAGCTCAGAGACCATCCATCTTTTGAGCTCTTTTAGAAAATCTCCTTTTGGGTTGGGGATTTTTTAAGTTGGAACAATGGTATCTAGTATCAGTCATCAATTTAGGTGACAGTCAACAAATAATACCCTATTAAATCGATCATAAATCTTGATATTTAATTGAATCAATGATTTAATATAAAAAATATTGTTACCTAGATTGATTTTAATAGTACTGATGCTAAATAATATCACTCTTATAAGTTCGTTAGTAGATGGTCAATATTTTAGCTCTTTTTTTTCCTACTATTTTTATTAAAATTGTTGCCTAGTCCATGCTACCATGATTTCTTGAGACATTGAACGTTAATATGCTGGATTATATATGATGAGAAATGGAAGGGAAACTTTTTATTTATTTATTTATTTTTTGTCGTGCACAATCATATATATGGAATGTAGCAGTAGAGGACAAAGTTTAAAACATGTTTGGGAAGTGTTTATAAATGATTTAAATTATAAATAGATAAAAATAAGTGATAGATAAGTACATAAAAGTTGTGGATTCCTCGAAATGTACTGATAAAAATGACTTGAGTGTTTATATACACGAGCCAAACATGGACATAGTTTATCTTTTCTTTAATATCGATGTGGGCTACTTAGTCCAAACTGTCAAAGCAAATCATCGTGATTTCGATTTTAAGATAATATAAACTCTGTTGGATTATGTAGGACTAAACAAAATATAAGAAGAGAAATATGCGATCGCGTAATCCAGTTAAATGTACTCAACATGTCCTTAAAATTTAAAGGCTTAAACAAATACTTCTCTCTTTAACTAAAATATTAATCATCATTATACTCATTACATATTATTACAAAATTGCACTCACAATTACCTTAAAATTGGGTTCAGAAGGAATGTTGGGATTGATTAAGAAACATTAACAATTTGAGCAGTGAAATATAAAAAAAGAGACAATGGCAGACAACAGATTTTTGTCTATATCTTTCTTGTGATATTCAAATAAATGAATAATCTGTTTGGTGGCTCACAAAAATTGTTATATCGAGAAAGAATTAGGAAAGCATTTTTCTCTATTGCATTCTAAGCTAGTTGATTAGAAATCGAACTATCTAGCTGGTCGGATGACACCACTTCTTCTTTTTGTGTGATGGTGTCCGTTTGATTCGATACTATCTTCCCACTTCATTAAGAAAGAGTCTCGACTAACCCAGTATTGACTTATTATATACAAGTTTTGGCTTTCTCAACGGATGTAGCCTGCCTGCCTTCCTAGAAACGATTAATCTTTCTATTATTCTTGTAATATGTGTGATATGTCACATGATTAATCCGCATTCCATGCAAATAAATTGTTAACATTTTATGGAATTTTCGCGTCTTCTTCATAATTTTCCAAAGGGAGCAGTTGAGAATTTTCTTTAATCCAAATGAGTATTAAGATACAGCAACTGGCCTGTAAAAAAAATTTTAAAAAAATTATTTCAAAACTTACCTTTTTTTTCTTGTAATTAATATTTATAAGCTGATTCGAACATGCAAACTTTTGAAACTTATTAAGGCCCCGTTTGGACGGGATTGTTCATTTCCATTA